CCAAATACCTTAAAAAAAAAAAAATCTCTGCTCCAAAAGAGTTTAGTCAAAGGGATTTATGATCCCAGCTTGGGGCATTTGCCAGGTACAATATAATTTTACCCCTAAAGATTTAAAATCCATCAATAAACAATGAAGACGCAGCAAAACCCTGGGATTGCACCAGGGTGAGAGGCCGGGGACAGCAGCTCCATCACAGACCTTAGAATCCGGGGGAGGCTGTGTGGAGAACAGGGCGGGGCATGAAGCTGGAGGCCCAGAGGCAGGGACCACTGATAAATTGTGGGACCTTAGAGATGGCCTCGGGTCTCAGTCTCCACTTTTAAAAGGAAGAAAATGGATGAGATCATCTCAAATATCTACACATCTAAAGTAGCCAAAGATATAATTGGGAGGTAGATTGTAATGTAATTTCTGTCTTTGATTTGGAAGGAGAAGCTATAGTAATACTGAGGTTAGGGGAAAATATTCCAAAAAATCTCTTCTGAAAAATAAGGGCAGTTCTCTTTGAGGAAGACCCTTCATTTGAGCATCCGCTGAAAATGAAAGTTGCTCAGGGAAGGACTGCGTGTATGCTCACTCGTGTCTGACTCTTTGTGACACAATGGGCTGTAGCCTGCCAGGCCCCTCTGTCCATAAAAATTTCTAGTAGGCAAGAATACTAGAGTGGGTTGTCCCCTTCTTCAGCGGATCTTCCCAACCCAGGGACTGAACCCACATCTACTGCGGCTCCTGCATTGGCAGATGGATTCTTTGCCACTGAGCTACCCATGAAGCCCAGGGAAGGACTGACTTTCAGCCAGAGGGTTCTCAAGGGGAAAACACACCTGTCTTGCTCAGACTAAAGTGAGGAGGGAAGGGATACAGTCATATATGATGTGGTCTCTGCCTCAAGAAGTTGATTATAGAATCACCAACATCATCATCGTAGCTACCCTTTGGGAAATTCTTATGTTCCAGACAACATTTATATCTGCTTTTTGTTGTTTTCTTTTTGTTTTGGCTGTGCTGCAGGGTATGTGGGATCTTAGTTCCCCAGTCAGCGGTCAAACCCACACCCCCTGTATTGGAACATGGTCTTAACCACTCACTGGACTGCCAGGGACATCCTTGTTTATATCTGTCACTTCATTTAATTTACATGGTCAAAGAAAAAGGTGCTCATGTCTGTGAGTCTTTGAACTCCCTAATTCTGTCTCTCTCTGCTTTTTCTTCCATCTACATATACAATTTAGGAGAAGTTTCTCTTTTGCGTTTCATCCTCTGCTCATGAAAATGAATTATAGCAGTGACATATTCATAACAAAGAAGAGTGGAGAAGACTGAATGGTGAAAAGAAATAAACTGCTAATTGCAATGCTTGGTACACCCTAGGCCCTTATAATTCTTTTCATTACTTTTTTCTTTACAACCCATTTGGCTGCACTACTCCTTCCTTCCACCAGATGGCAGACTTTTGGTTCAAAAACTAAAACACACCTTAAAAGATTTCTAGGGTTCTCCCTACCTGTATGACATGGTGGCTCTTAATGTGTCAAAGTAATATACATCTATTTGTTTGGGTCCTGAATAATGGAAAATGTAAATATGTGGGCAGCAATGAGCTGTTAAGCAGAAAACTGTCCAAAGCAGTGTCCTGGCCAGTACTTGGCAAGTAACTGTGTCGGAGGAGTAATCACTGCTTATTGAATATTAAGTGACTATTTATCTCCCAAAGTCCTCAGTATCACCTGGTGACAATGCTTATGTCATGTTTAGAAGCACTGCATTTGCAGGAATATATCCTGTGAAATAATTATGTTGGGGGGGATTGCTAGCCACAGATCACTTGGTTACCTTTCCACCAGGAGTTCTTGGGGTCACACTGTGCTACTGGTTATGAGTAACCTGAAACATTCACATTCGTAAGCTGAAGCTAAGACGCCTCTGATATTCTTAGGACCATGACTGATGTCCTCACATCATGGGGATTTTCCCAGCATTCTTTGTGGCAGCCCAGTAATCCCACCTTGTGAGTTCTGAAGGGAGAGATAAGAGATGGGTTCTTTAGCAGGAGGCCTGTTTGCCTGGGAAATGAGACCAAAATCCAGACAGTAATTCAGCCCTTTGGTGGAGTTGAGCTAAATCAGATCATATTTTGGTGGAGTTGAGCTAAATCAGGTAGTCTGTATTCAGTTCCATAGAGAGTTAGACTTCTCAATGAGGAACAAAAGCCAGACTTGCTGGCTAATGTCTACTTGAGTTCCCCAGGCCTGCCACAACTCTTTGCAGGAACATGCTGTACGGCATTCAGGTGCTTTAAAGGCACCTCCCTGGTAGTCCAGTGGCTAAGACTCTGTGCTCCCAGTCCAGGGGCCTCAGGTTCAATCCCTGGTCAGGGAACTAGATCCCACAACCCACAATGAAGATCAAAGATCTTTATGCTGCAGCTAAGACCCATCATAGCCAAATAAACACATATTTTCACAAAAGATGCTTTAGAACGTCTTCATGCTATTCAACATGTGATCACCAATCAGCAGCAACATCATCATCTAGAAACGAGATTGTTGCAATTCAGTCAGTAAGTGGTGTCCGACTCTTTGTGACCTCATGGACTGCAGCAAGCCAGGCTTCCCTGTCCTTTACCATCTCCCAGAGTTTGCTCAAACTCATGTCCACTGAGTCAGTGATGCCATCCAACCATTTCACCCTCTGTCGCCCCCTTCTCCTCCTGCCTTCAATCTTTCCCAGCATCAGGGTCTTTTCCAATGAGTCAGCTTTTTGCATCAGATGGCCAAAGTATTGGAGCTTCAGCTGCAGCATCAGTCCTTCCAATGAATACTCATGGTTGGTTTCCAGTAGAATTGACTGGTTTGATGTCCTTGCAGTCCAAGGGACTCTCAAGAGTCTTCTCAAGCACCACAGTTCAAAAGCATTGATTCTTCAGTGCTCAGCCTTCTTTATATGGTCCAACTCTCACATCCATACATGACTACTGGAAAAACCATAGCTTTGACTATATAGACCTTTGTCAGCAAAGTGATGTCTCTGCTTTTTAATATGCTATCTAGGTTTGTAATTCCCATGGCCTCCAGGAAACGTGGTAGAAACACACCTTCTTGGGTTTCACTGAATCACTTTGTAGGTGGGTCCCAGTAATCTGTATTTTCACAGGCCCTCTAGGGGACTCTGATGCCCTGGAAAGTTTGAGAACTGCTGCACTAGATTTTTGGAATTGAGTTGGACTGTTAATAGAGGGAAGGGGGCAAGATTAGAGTCTGCTGTGCCCACTCCTTGCTGCAAGCCCTTCTCCCTGTGTTAAGGCAAGCTGAGGCTGCCTCTTTGAGAGCAGTAAGATGTCAAGGAATATGGATGTGGGCTGATAGGATGCTATTAGCATAACAGGCAGAAATGGAGCCAAGAGTTACCATATTGCCCCAAACCTGGCAATACCTGGTGGAGACGAACAAAAGGCTCCTGCTCCCCAAGATCCAGTCCCGCCCAGTCCAAAGACCCCTTCCCTTCTTCCCTTCCTGCCCTGCACTTAGAATGGAGTGGGGAGGTGGCTGTTGACGCTGTTTGGTTTTCTGGGCAGCCTGGTTTCAAGAGCTAAATCCAACTTTAAAATGTGACCTCTGTGATCAACACACTTTAAAAGGCAGCTGTCATCTATTTCTGTTTTGGTAAATCAAAAACAGAATGGATCTTCTCATACTGCAGAAATGCAAGAAGGTGGAGACAGCTGTTCGGTGTTGGCCTTAAAAAGCCCTGGTCCTCGGAAAGGGCTGAGCAGCTGGCAGGGGTTGGGGGGGGGGGTGGTTCACTGGATCAGCTCCTAACCCTCCTGCTGTCCTGCTTTCCATGGACGTATGCACTGTCTGGGGCTTGCCCACTGGCTCAGTGCTAAAGAATCTGCCTGTGATGTGGAAGATGCCAGAGGCCCTGGGTTCGATTCCTGGATTGGGAAGATCCCCGAGAGGAGGGTACAACAACCCACTCCAAAAAAAAAACAAAAAAAACCCACTCCAGTATTCTTGCCTGGAAAATCCCATGGACAGAGGAGCCTGGTGGGCTACAGTCTGTAGGGTTGCAAAGAGTCGGACATGACTGAAGGGACTGAGCACTCATGCATGCACGCATGCCACTGTTTGTGGGTTGAAAGTGGATAGAGGCCACAGAAAAACATGGACGAACAGGGTGGGAATGAGCAAGATAAAGCAAACAAGTGACCAAGGCTGCCATGTCATTCACAAAAAAGGTAGGAGAGGTCTGTATGCCCTGGGCAGCACTTCTCATGGTCCAATGTGCATTTTGGTCACTGGAGAGCTTGTCAAGGTACAGGTTCTGATTCTGTGGGCCTCAAGGGAGCCTCAGAACTTGTACTTCTAATAAGCACCCTGGTGAAGCTGATGTTGCTGGCCCAGGGCTGCACTAGACCAGGCAGGCTCCAAAGACGTCCAGTGCATGGGATGAGGTGGCCCTCTAGTGATTATCCCAGGCAAAGCCAAGATATTTTCACTTGAACAGAAAGATTGTTAAAACAAGGTCCTGTACTTCCCTGGTTGTCCAGTGGTTAAAAATCTGCCGCCCAATGCAGACATAGGTTTGATCCCTGGTCGGGGAACTAAGATCCCACATGCTATAGGTCAACTAAAGCCCATGAGCTCTGGTGCGAGAGCTCACAACTAGAGTCCATGCGCCACAAAGAAAGATCTCACATGATGCAATGAAGATCCTGCATGCGACAACTAAGACCCAACACAGCCCAACAGATAAATAAATATTAAAAAAAATAAAAACAAAGTCCTACTGGCATGGTACAGAGAACAATATTCAATATGCTGTGATAAGCCATAATGGAAAAGAAGATGAAAAAACATGTATGTATAGCTGAATCACTTTGCTGTACAGCAGATATTAACACAACATTGTAATTCAACTCTACTTTTCAATAAAAATATATAAAAAGATGAATACCAAAGTAGAAATTTACTCAATTTACAAAAACAGAATCAATGTCAAGCTCGACACTATTTATTAATACATCGTTTCAGACTGTTACTGTATAAATGGAGAATCTTTCACTCTCAATCTCCTGCCAGGTCTGGGAATGCTGGAGCCAGCCTCATGCCACATTCATCTTTATCCAAATGGTTATCGAGACTTCCCATAATACTGCTGTCATCAAGTTGCTTCTTGAAAAACATTTTGCAGCTCTCCTTAGAAACAGCATGAGGTTAGAGCCTCCACAACACGGCTGTAATCCTCTCCAGCTGCAATGGAGTTGGACTGTTACACACTCATTACAATTTTGCCATCCTCTCTTAAGTGTATACATGCTATACAAATTTATTCTATTATCACCGGGGCTGCGGGCTGGGGCTGCATGATCCTACCATCAAGCGGTTTACATTTTTAAAAAATTCTATTCTCTTTCATGTACTGTTGGTTTATAGAAACACTCTAGGTATTGACACAGTCCATTGTGTAATTCTCTATAGTGTTTGAAATGTTTTGAGGTTATTAGTGTGCTGTTATGTACACATATCTTTTATAGTTGTTTTTAACTGAAGTATAGTTAACTTATAATGTGTTAGGTTCAAGTAAACAGCAAAGTGATTCAGATATATCTATATATGTATATTTTTCTTTTCCATTATAGATTATTACAAGATACCTTCAAGCCCCAGGAGTTGGTGATGGACAGGGAAGCCTGGCATGCTGCAGTCCATGGAGTCGCAAAGAGTTGGACATGACTGAGCGACTGAACTGAACTGAACTGACACGATACCTTGAGTATGGTTCCCTGTGCTCTGCGGTGTGCGTTAGTCGCTCAGTCGTGTCTGACTCTTTGCGACCCCATGGGTTGTAGCCCACCAGGCTCCTCTGTCCATGGGATTCTCCAGGCAAGAACCCTGGAGTGGGTTGCCATGCCCTTCTCCAGGGGGTCTTCCTGACCTAGGGATCGAACCCAGGTCTCCCACACTGCAGGCAGATTCTTACCATTTGAGCTACCCAGAGTTGTTTACAATTATACAGTAGGTCCTTGTTTATTTATTTTATATATTGTAGGGTGTATACATTAATTCCAAACTCCTAATTTATATCTCTCCTCCTCCTGTAATCCCCTTTGATAACCATTAAGTTTGTTTTCTATGTCTGTGAGTCTATTTCTATAACCATTAAGTTTGTTCACTAAGTTTGTTTTCTACATCTGTGAGTCTATTTCTATAAATAAGTTCATTTGTGTCATTTTTTTAAGATTCCACATGTGATATCATATGATATTTGTCTTTGTCTGACTTCAGATAGTATGATAATCTAGAGGAGCATCCATGTTGTTGCAAATGGCATTATTTCATTCTTTTCAATGACTGAGTCCATTGTTGAATGGAATCCACCATTCCCAGGTGGGGCAGTGGTAAAGAATCTGCCTGCCCGTGCAGGAGTCACAAGAGACATGGGTTCTGCCCTTGGTCAAGAAGATCCCCTGGAGTAGGAACTGGCAACCCACACCACGGTTATTTCCTGGAGAATTCCATGGACAGGAGCCTGGCAGGCTGCAGCCCATGGGGTTGCAAAGAGTCAGACATAACTGAACGACCAAGCACGCACACACATAGTTGATATATAATGTGTTAGTTTCAAGTGTACCACAAAGTGATTCAGATATATATAGACACATTACACTTTTTCAGATTTTTTTTCCATTATAGATTATTAAAAAATATTTAAAAAAATTTTTTAAATAAAACAAAAAAATATTGAATATAATTCCCTGTGCTATACAGTAGATTCTTGCTGTTGATCTGTTTTATATATAGTAGTGCATATCTGTTAATCCCCAGAGGCACATCTTTGTGTAAGAAAAAGATGCTCTTCCTCTGAATCGATGCAGCCTCATGACAGGAAGAGGATTAGTGGCAGTAGCCTGGGCTAAATTTCAGCCCCCTTCTCCCATCTTCAAAGTACACAGTCTGCGGACTTCCCTGGTGGTCCAGTGGCTACAGCTTCATGTTTTCAACGCTGGGTACCTGGATTCGATCCCTGGTGAGGGAACTAGATTCCATATGTCACAACTAAGAGTTTGCATGCCATAGCTAAAGATCCCACATGCTGCAATTGAGAGCTGGTGTAGCCAAAGAAATAAATATGTATATTTTATTTATTTATTTTTAAATAAATAAGTATATTTTAAAAGTGCACAGTCTGCATCTGCATCTGTGGGGTTCTGCATTTATTTAACAAATATTTTTAACCTCTGCTCAAATAGGTAAAATCATAACCTTAATGCAAATATATAAAAACACATTTCTTTTTATTATTATTATTTTATAAAAACACATTTCAAGGATTTTATCCAACTCATTAATGAACAAGGAATCCAGAAAGATGTTATAAATGGCTCCAGGAGCCTTTGCAGAGTGGAGCACTTACAGGCAATTTAATAAAGGAGTTTTAGGATAAAAATGCTGGGTTAGATTAAAACCTGTACAATATCTTATAGGGCAATAGACAAGAACTTTTGTCGTTATCTTTTCTACCAGACAGATTATCTGTATCACTATCAGACCTGTTTAGGTTAACCCTTAAAGAGCTGTAAAACAATCCAATCGATAGAAAGAAAATCAAAGGGCACTGAAAGAACAGCCAGAAATCTCTTCTGTCTGTTTCCAAGTTTTGCATAATTATTCTGACAGATTCCCTCACTTCCAATAAGAAATAATCACCAAAGATTATTTCTGATACAAGAAGACTGGTCTCATTGGATTTGCTTGGCTTAATTACTAACATGAGTGTGGCAAGAAAATTAATTACCCATTAGGCCAACTTGAGTTTACTCTGCAAACCTAGAACCGTACACAATTTGGCAACAACCAAGCCTAAGACACTCTATTTAGCACACCTGACTAAATAAGAATCGTTCTTACAGAGCACTCTGGATAACTGGAAATTATCTAGTGCAATCACTAATTGCACTAGTGATTTCCCATTACTTTCTGGTAAAAAGGAGAAGGAATTATTATTAAACCTATACAAATAATGATAGTATGAAAACTGAGGTGATTTAGTAAAAGTGTTTGCTTTCTGAATTCTGAGGGGTCAGTGAAAATCAGATACCACTAAAATGGACAAAAGTTTGAAAAAGCTTGTCCATTAAAAATGTACAAATGTTCCAGTTTATGAAAGCATGGGATACTAAATTGAGAGCTATAGCTTAAAAAGACAGAGAAAGATTAACACATATATGTGGACTCTAGAAAAATAGTACAGATGACCTTATTTGCAAAGCAGAAACAGATACAAACATAGAGAACAAACTTATGGACACCCAAGGAGGAAAGGGAGGAACTGGGAGGTTGGGATTGGCACATATACACCATGGATACTAGGTATAAAATAGATAACTCATGAGAAGCTACTGTATAGCACAGGAAACTCTATTCATAATGTTTTGTGGTGACCTAAGTGGGAAGGAAATCCAAAAGAGAGGGGATATATGTATACATAGAGCTGATTCACTTTGCTGTACGATATAAACTAACAAAACATTGTATAGCAACTACACATCAATAGAAATTAATTTTTAAAAAGACAGAGAAAAGGCTTCCTACTATTTGCCTGGGAATTTGAGTCTTAAAACTAATGGGAGCAATATTTTAAACAAAATACTACAGTGAAATTTCTCTCAGTTCAGTCCTATGGAATTGATTCTTATGTGGCTGGATCTTGGGTCGGTTTCCTGCTTTCTTGAAGTGTGTCTGCATCTCAATTAAAGAGGGTACTAGAATCACTGCTCATCTCACTGAATATCCTCATGTTCTCTTAGCAACATCAGCGCCCAAGCCTGTACACGGGTGTCTACTCTTTGATGTGTCAGTAGGGTATAGTCCTGCTACAGTCCTTTCCATAGTGTTCTGTAATCGCTATTTCCTGAAGAACAAATCCTGTCTTAGCTCTGAGCCTTCAGACAAGTATCTGAGGGAAGAACACACAGGTGTGACCAAGAGACCGAATGTCATTGCTGTTTAACTGCTAAGTTGTGCCCCACTCTTGGCAACCACAAGGACTGTAGCCTGCAAGGCTCCTCTGTCCATGGGATTTCCTAGGCAAGAATACTGGAGGGGGTGGCCATTTCCTTCTCCAGGGCATCTTTCCAACCTAGGGCTCGAAGCCATGTCTCCTGCTTGGCACATGGATTCTTTACCACTGAGTGGCCAAGGAAGCCCATGAGACTGAGTAGCTGTGGTTAATGTTAATAGATTACAGTAAATTCAGCTTCAGGATGGAGGAAAGTCAAACTCTCTGTGGGGGTCAGTGTCTTACCACTTCATAAAGAAGGAATGGTGTTTCCCCTGAAAGTAAGAATACAAGAGAGATAGTGAAGGCATTTATAAATCTCCAAGATCTTCCCATAAAATATGCAAGTTTGGAATATTAACATTTTACTAATACAATACAAACTCAACATTCAAAAAATGAAGTAAATGTCAACCAGTCCTATCACTTCATGGAAAATAGATGGGGAAAAAGTGAGAACAGTGTCAGATTTCATTTTCTCGAACTCCAAAATCAAAGTGGACGGTGACTGCAGCCACAAAATTAAGACACACTTGCTCCTTGGAAGAAAAGCTATGACAAACCTAGACAGCGTTTTAAAATGCAGAGACATCATTTGGCCAACAAATGTCAATATAGGCAAAGCTATGGCTTTTCCATTAGTCATGTATGGATGTGAGAGTTGGACCATAAAGAAGGCTGAGCAGCAAAGAATTGATGCTTTCAAACTGTGGTGCCGGAGAAGACTCTTGAGAGTCCCTTGGTCTGCAAGGAGATCCAACCAGTCCATCCTAAAGGAAATCAGTCCTGAATATTCATTGGAAGGACTAATGCTGAAGCTGAAGCTCCAATACTTTGGCCACCTGATGGGAAGAGCAGACTCATTGGAAAAGACCCTGATGCTGGGAAAGACTGAGCGCAAGAGGAGAAGGGGATGACAGAAGATGAGATGGTTGGATGGCATCACTGACTCAATGGACATGAGTTTGAGCAAATTCAGGGAGATACTGAAGGACAGGATAGCCTGGGATGCTGCAGTTAATGGGGTTGCAAAGAGTCAGACATGACTTAGCGACTGAAAATAACAATACGAACTTAACTTAGGGAAGGCAGCATGTCTTTTCTGATTTGACAGTTTATTCCATGAAGTTATTACAATGCTGTTAAACTAATAAAGCAATATGGAGGGGAGGGATGAGAGGGAGTTTGGGAT